ACAAAAATTGTGCAACTGGAATATTATACCCCTTAAAATAAAGAATCATCTTATTTACCTTACCAGGGTTGGTAGATTGAGAACCTGAAGGAGAAGTTAAGGGGGCTGGCTTGGCTGCATGCGACCGAAAGGAACACCTGCTTGCTACCTGTTTTGCACCGCACTTAAAGCATTCATGCTTAAAGGCACAACCGCCACAAAATTGACCTTTGTGATAGCGCCAGCAAAATCCTTTAGGATATGACTGAGCAGCTGTTGGATTGCACCCAACACTGGTCGAATTATCCTGTATCTGCGCACGCAGCCACAACTCCCAGTGTACTGCATCCCAGGCGAGGGTGCTATGATGCTTTTGCATCAGGTATCTTAAATTCTCGTCATAATAACGACAGCCCCCTCCTCTCAAAGGCAGATCTTGCACTATTTCCCCATATTTCATTAAAGCTGGTGCAGATGTTTGAAATTTACTTGTATAAACCCCAACAAAGACCTGGAATACAGAGGTCCATTGCTTAAGTGAATTTATGTGCCTTGGCTTATTCTTGGGCTCAGGGCTCAATGTGGAAATGTTATTGCCTAAGTTATTGCTTAAAGGTGGTTGATAACTTTGATCATCTGGTTTACTATTAAGCAGAATGCGAAAATCGATGTATTTATGCACCAAAATTTGGTTGGCTGAAACTTTGGCCCCTATTGGGACTGAGACTGAATTGAATAGCACTTCCGGCTTGTCCAGGTGAGTATTTATGCAAGCCTCACCTGATAACACAGTTAGAGCTCCAGTCACCGACCCCTGGACTGCAGGTTCTATTTCACAATTACTCTCATTTAGCGAGTGAGGTGTTAATACTGACACAACCTGCGCAGTTTCCACCACACTGGTACTGGCATTTAGGCCATAGATAATTGCAGTGGAGATTGAGTCGGACAACTTGCTGAGCACATCAGGATGTAAGATTATTTGCTGCAATTCAGATGTCGCTTGGGCCGATACCCTGCTGTCTTGTTGCAGAGCTGCAGCCACCACATCGACCTCAGATGACGCGGGTCTGATCTGAATAGGTTGTTTTGATGTGGATTCGTCAGAGTAGGCCCTAGTAATGGCTGGCCACTTCTTTCAATTGCTTCTTCATGGCGGCACGCTGAAATCTGGCAGAAAAAAAAACTCGCCAAAGTGTGTAATAGTATAATTCTAAGGTTACCATATTTAAAAGAGGCAAATTTATAGTTGTAGAGTTTGAATGATGGCATTGTCAGCTGCCTTTTAAGATTAAATTTAGTATTCCTTCAGTTAGTTAGATTATTTCTATCGTATGATTTATATCCTTGTGGTCATAGTTAATTTAACGGTACTTGTTGGTGGATGAATTGTGTGTGA